CCCAAATGGATAATCATCTCATAGATTATTCCATGATTAATTATCCCAGATTTATCAAATGCCACATCCAAATAAGGTCATACATGTAATTGCAATCTTCCTCAAGACACGCAACCGCCCCTTTGCCCAACACAAACAAAAGCTGAAAACAACAGAGGCCCCGAATGGATAATCTCATAGATTATTCCATGATTAATTATCCCAGATTTATCAAATGCCACATCCAAATAAGGTCATACATGTAATTGCAATCTTCCTCAAGACACGCAACCGCCCCTTTGCCCAACCCTTGGTTTCTATCACAGAAAGTTTAAACCGGCTTCCATTAATAATAACAGAAAAAAGAAGTAATGTTGATCCATTCTGAGCTATGTACTCCACATGTCAAGGAGATCATTAGTGACTGACACCAACGATGTGCCACAGACACCAAGATGTCTCTTGTGTGCCTGTCCTTTACTGACATTCCTGTCGCATCCTATTCGCCAACCTCATGGAGGAACCCTCTCGCACTTTGGATCAAAAAATTTCCATGTTATTGTTAGTGGTTTATGTGTATCACCATTTTGTTCCGTTTTTCACTGTTAATTTTGTTTGTATTTTAACCACTTGAAGGAAAAAGGTTATTGACAGCAGAACAATCAGTACTGCAATATAAAATTTCCATGTTATTGTTAGTGGTTTATGCCTATCGCCATCTTGTTCTGTTTTTCACTGTTAGTTTTGTTTGTATTTTAATCACTTGAATGAAAGAGGTTATTGACAGCAGAACAATCGGTACTGCAATATATATATATATTTATTTATTCATTTATCTGTACCTGGTTGAATATCATCTTTTTAATAGTTTATAAGACCTAAATCCCAGAGGGAGACTCGCAAATTCACTTCATTTCCCTGATTTCACATTTAGGTCTCCACATTAGCTATAAATGTGTAAAACCACACGGAGGTAGTTCCTATTTACTCCAGGGCTGAGGAGGCACTCGGCTCTTTTTTCTTTCACCATATGGCTGAAGTAACTCGCACACAAGCAATTTGCTCTGATTCAGCTGTTTCAGCAGGAAGGATTTGCAGAAGCAGGATTGGGAAATACACAGGATTGTCTTTCACTTCTGTGACAAGAGTTATATTTTTAATTAGCCCCACTGTTAGCCTTCCGAGGGTAGCTTGTAAAAGTTTAATTCTCTATCTCAAGTTTGAGTCCTACTTGATAAGGCCGTTTTTATGTGTATTTAGGGCCCAGTTCTGAAAGCATTTTTAGGTTTTTAGAAAAGTCAGTTCCTTGATTGATAAGGCCGTTTTTATGTGTATTTAGGGACCAGTTCTGAAAGCATTTTTTTGGTTTTTAGAAAAGTCAGTTCCTTGGCAAATTCTGTTGACGAAAAGTAAGAACTTTGGATTTGCTTTTCTCCCAGTAGACTCTATCTCAAGTTTGAGTCCTACTTGATAAGGCCGTTTTTATGTGTATTTAGGGCCCAGTTCTGAAAGCATTTTTAGGTTTTTAGAAAAGTCAGTTCCTTGACAAATTCTGTTGACGAAAAGTAAGAACTTTGGATTGGCTTTTCTCCCAGTAGACTAAACTTACATGAAGCTTATTGAAGATACCAGGAGCAGGAGGTGGTGGTCAATACGCTCTTTCACTAAAATCTTACGAGAACCACCTGTTGGGAAGATCTTATACAATATGTGTATATTATTTATAAATACCTGAAGGCCCAAAGTTTGTGCATTGGGAAAGAATAAAAAACTAGGTCGACTAATAGTGGACAGGAAAAACCTGTAGATTAATGTATTCCCTCTCACTTGTTTACACAATAGTGTTATTAAAATCAAAGCAATTGGATTATCTGGCAAGTAGAAAGAAAAAACTGAAAAGGTGCATTTGAAATAAGTATTAGTAAATTAAAAAAATAGCATTTAAGTATAAGCATTGACTGAAAACTATAACCAACATAAGAAACAGAGAAAAAGCGTAGAACATAGACCAGCCTTATTAATTTGCAGTGACGCTCTGAGATTTTAAAATAACATCAGCTGAATGAATAGGGTGTTGCACATGTTTAGGAAGGGGGAATACAGCATCCAAATGACTTGTAAAATGTTTTGAGTTTGTAATTTAACATAATACAGGGGATAGATTTGGTGATGCCTTAAAAATTCAGCTCTAATACAGCATCCTGTCAGCAGTGCTACTGTTAATAGCCTGTGAGAGAACGTCCCTTTAATGTCATTGGCCCTTCAGCTTTCAGTTTAATATTTAAGCTGTTTCTAATTGTGTTCAGCTAAAACTTGGCATACAGCTTATGGACATGGATGTAATTTTAATTTCAATGAAAAAGGGGAGAAAAGAGGCAAAATTTTAATCTGTTCCATTGCCAGAGTTGTTAAGTGGTAAACGAGGTAAAAGTTTTCAATATTTCACTTTTCCCAAATTTGTCCACGTGCTGATTTCTTCCCCTAAACACAATTCTCATGCAGCGTAAGATGATACATACACGTGCATACATAGCCAAGAACTAATCAAAACACTCACAACAGACCAAGGAGACCAAATTAGGATCTTGTTCACGGGGGGAGGTGTGTGTGTGCATGTTAACGATGAGAAAAGGAGCTCTGCGCACGTTTCAGGAAATTGCATGAGCTTTCATCAACGCCAGAAAAACTAAAAGCGCAAAGTCGATCTGGAAACTAAACCCTAATGTGGGTTTTAGGAAAGCTCCTGAACTGCTGTCAGTGGATATGCCTCCTCCTGCCTTTCACACATCACTGACCCCCCTGGGCATCTCCACCGCAGCCAGCTGGCCTTCCTCCCTCACCCTCTTCCTAGCAAAGGTTGCAAGATGTATGCTCCAGCCTTGGGGGCTTTAGGGGAATAAAACACCTCCGCCTATCTCCAAAGAGACGACGGGATGACAGGGAAAAAACCCAACTTGGGAGAACCTTTCGTGTTGTGATTGTTATAGCCACAGCTGGCCCCACGGAGCTGGAGGTTGGGGGAGAGGAGAGAAATGCACCCTCCTGTCCTCTCCCCTCCCACGGCTGTAATGGCTGCTGGGAACACATCTTCTGCCATCTACAGACCATCTTTGCCTTAGGAAGGGGCTGCTGCTTGAAAGATCCCCGTTGGAGGAACCAGCTCATCTTGAGGCCAGAAAGTGAGGCCATAAAGAGGAGCTCAGCAGAAAACTGGACTTCATTAGCACCGCCAAGACAACCCTAGTCATCCAGCAAATCCTTGAAGGCAGGAAAACTGGCATCCTTGGCTTCCTGGAGTTTGCCTAGACTTCATGCTTCTGCCTAGTTCGTATCAGAGGTCCCAGGACAGCAAATGAAAAGATATTTTTGAATATCAAGTGTATGGGGCCGTGGAGGCACAGCCTGTAATCGAGGAGTATGGTGGGTTGGTTGTATGGCGGGGGGAGGAGGCATCTCCCCGCTAGTCGTCTGTGCTGATTTTGCTGATTGCAGGAACAGTGGCCTGAGGGGCATTTAATAAAAAATGATTAAGGAAGAGACAGGACTGGGGCTATATTACCCGTCCATTAACCAGCTATGCACGAGAAGAGACATTTCTCCCCCTGGAGCAGCGTAGCAAGGGACACACAGCCTCTGCATGGGTGCTCTGTCTATGCACGAGAAGAGACATTTCTCCCCCTGGAGCAGCGTAGCAAGGGACACACAGCCACACAGCCTCTGCATGGGTGCTCTGCGCTTTGTGTTGTCTGAGAGAATTGCACCTTAAAGATACAGCACAGCTTTTACCAGTTTTATGGCTTTACTACGGTTTGTTTGGGTTTTGGTGCAAATTGCCGTGTTATAAGACAATTCTGTATCATGGCCACTTTAAGGCCAATGTAATTTAGCATGAGCTGAGTTACTGCAGGGAATACCAAGTTGGTGTACGATACCTGCTTGCTTACTTGACTGTTGCTAAATGTCAGGGTAAGACTTTCTGGATAGTTTACAATGAATTTATAATGCATCTCACTGAAATGCACAGCCTATGGTAGCAACTGTGAGAGCCAATTTAGTTCTGGCCTGAGCAAGTACTGTATGACCATTGAGATGAGCAGAAGCTGATCTGTCCTAGGACGAGGTTAGCCCTATATAACATAAATTGTTTTAGTAAGTGATTGGCAAGTTGATTTATGGCAATTTCTGATGGAGCTGCTCTATCTTTAGGTATAATTAAAGTAGATAGACACATGGTGAAGTTTTTCAACACCGCACCTGACGTTCCCCAAGGGAACTTTCAAAGTCCCAGGTGGTGGTGGTGGGACACTTGACTCCTGTCGACTCCAAACTTTAATCAGTTCCCGTATTTGCCAGCTGTAACTTTACAGTTCTCCCCTCGGATTTCCCAGAGGCGTGAGCAACCAAATGTTCCCAGTGAATTTAGCTGGGAGCTACAGAGAACCGTGAAAATCAGTCTAGGCAGTCAGATGCCTTGATGAGAACTGAGAAACACGCTCTCACCAATTGGGACTTGCCTTTCAGGGGTGCTCACCCCATTACCTTCTCTGGCCTGGAGCACATCCATAGTCACGGGGAGGAGAGGAGTTAACCAGAACCCACTAGGTTTTCTTGTAGAAATGTGGTTTACAAGCAATACTTTTTTACCTAACCACTGTTATCACGGTAACCATTGTCATCAGCGGCACATGACCATATTGACTATTTCGTGATGGAAGGAAAACTGCTCAATAAATGACAAGTTCTGCTTTGTAAAGAAGAAAGAGAGGAGGAAGGGAAAAGAGACCACTAAAGACCTGCGGGCTCCTGACGATAATGCTATACATCACCCCAAAATCGCTCGCAGGTGTACACGAGTCCCGCCGCTGCTCCTAGCCCGATTTTTGTATGCAAGGTCATCCTCCTGGTGCTACCTTAGAAACTGGCCTTATTCTATAGAGGACATTGAATGATAACACTGCGAGTCAGCTGACTGCTGTGTCACAGAGCTGCTGCTTTCTACATTATCGCAACTGCCAGAGCTCTTACTGCTGCAGTTTTCTAGTCGCAGTGCGGCAAAGCAGACGCATAGAACCAGGCACAAAGCAGCATAGGGGTTTTTTTTAATTCTTCTCTTTTTCATACGAGGGAGATTTTCCTGGTGTTAGCGTAGGAGCAGACACGCAGCCTGGATGTGTTGGCTTCAGCCTGGCAGCGTTTTCAGCTGAGCAGGGAACTGCGCGGAGCTCTGTACCCAAACTGCCTCTGCGGAAGAACGCCCTAAGATGGGGTTTGGTTTTGTTTTTGGTTTTTTTTTTTAATGCCACGGTGATATACCTGCAGCAATAGGACAAAGGAGATGGTACTTGTCACTGTCTGTCCGACTGGGGCCTTTGCAGGCGCTGCGTCGCCGAAGCCGTGCCGGCGTTCCCAGGGTCGTATAGATTTGGTAATACAGATTTGGCTGCGATTTCTTACATCACTTAGAGCAAAGCTCAAACGAGAAACCCAGACTCTCTGACCTAAATCAATCCCAGTCCTTCTGGATACAGGGGCAGCAGTCGACTAGCGATGACACAACCAGCCATCAAGTGGAGAGTCTCTGGGATTGCAATCCGTATCGGTTGGAGTCTGAGAGAATGAAACCCTTTCGCTTATCCAGTCGCTTCTCCTTCTTCTAATACTACGATTACAACAACTACTACTTCTGGTTTTCTTGCCTGTAAGAAGCTATTAATCGTGCTTCGTCTCTGAGCGTATATCTGCGTGGATTAGTCTGTCTATAAACACAGCCCTTATCTGCTCCTGCTGGAAATCAGGGCACGAAGTCAGCCTGCTTTAACAGTTGTTTCTTTCTGCGTGATGCTATGCAACTAGAATGGGTTACACTGACAACAAAGGAACAAGCACAAAGCACCACTTTCTTTGCTGGACTGTTACAGGAACATAACTCTTCTTCGATATGACGCCCTGGTCTCTTTGCTAGCTTTTTTTTTTTTTTTTATTCCCTCCTTTCTTTAATTCATCTAATCGAAGAGCCTAACAGACACCATCGTGGATGTGGTTTTTAATGATTTGGAAAAGACAGCCTGTGGAGACTGCGATTTGAGACAGCAACACATTTAGGTTATTGCCAATTTGAAATACTTGGTTTGTGAAGCACAGCCCTAAGGGACGAGCTCAGAAACTGAGAGAGAGATTGTAGATAAAGAAATAAAAATGACAAGCGTAATGGAGGCTCTGCAAAAGAGACTGTCAGAGAATCAGTTCATGGATGGCAATTTCACCAGTCTGAATCTGAATAATTCATAGATTGAAATTACCCTGCTTTCACCTTTCCATTTAAACCGGCATGATCTGAATCTCTAATAAATTTTCAAGATAAAGTAAAATGCCAATTTGAATCTGAAGAGCTTTTAAAACCAGATGCTACACCCTGAATCTTTCGATACCTTTCACAATTATCCTGTGAGAACCGCACTTCATCACGAAGCACCATTACCAGTGAAAATTACTGTGATTACAATAGCAACAATAGAATACCATCAAATGATCTCTAATTTACCTAATTTACCAAGGCTGACTGTGTGCCCATTGTGTTTCACTACGTCTGGCATCGGATCAATATCACAGTGGAACAAAAATGCCTTAGTGTGTGCTTCCTTTTGGTACCTTTGACTTTGACAGCGCAGAAGGGGAAAAAAAAATTAAAAAAAAATAATCTATCTACCGTTAAATGTTTTTACAGCCGATCTCCGTGCCTGCTGTAGGATCTGATTGATTCGCCATGATTTTCTGTAGTTCCTGGGTATCGGATGTCATTGTGTTACTGATGTGTTTATAAGGTAGAGTCATGCACAAAGGCTGCAGCAGGCGGGTGCCAGCAGAGAGACCCTGCACTGCTGCAGCAGCAGCGCTCTCGCAGGGGAAGCCAAAACCAGTTCGGTGCCTTAATGTGAATAATTCCTCCTGGCTGAGTTACTAAATGCTTCCTGGCATCACCGGGCTCGGTGGTACCGCATGAAAAATGTATGCAAAAAGCCATGGTCAAGGAAAAAAAAAAACCAAAACAAAAAAACCGATGGTGTGTAATACTAACAAGATTCTTTTCCCCCCCTCACCCCCTCGTTCAGCAATTAGCGTGTGGTTGTGAGAGACAGGCTGCGGCTCCTGCTGTAGATGTGTGTATGTAGGTGCACATACATAAATGTACAGATACTGTGCTTGGTGAATGTGTGCCGACCACTGAAAGGCACAACTTTTTTTTTTCCTGACGAGCCAGGCGCAGTGTTTTGCCACAATCTGCTCCGGTTGTAACAAAATCCCTCTTTTGGAGGTGTAAATTTCCTATAGGATGATGCACGGCTGCTGGAACAGTAAGTACCATTTAAACCATGTGTTGGTGCCTATAGCTACGGTACAGAGCGCTATTTTAAGCATAGTTTGAGTCCTTGTAGCATAACTACAACGTGGAGAAGTGAGAAACACATACAGAAGGCTAGAAACAGGCATTCTTCATGGAGACGACTGTATGTGCTGTCTGTGAGTTGTACACTTCAGGCTTGTTTTTCATTTTATAACCAGATTTACTCTGCCTTCAGGGAATAGTTTCTAAGGGAGGAAGGTAAGCAGTATTTCTCCTTATTTATATGCCTGTGTTGTGTTTCTTTTAGGGAAAATGCATGTTTACAGCACACAGTTATGTAATATAGCATGATCTCGTGTCATCTCTTTAAGTGCTTCAGTTATTTGTTCACGTTAAAACTGGAGAAGCACATTTAAAATATGGCTTTTTATTCAAAATACACTTATAGAAATGCTGCGCAAAAGAAGAATTTAAAGACTGGGTTTGCATTCAGCTTTGACTCTTTAATATTATTCAATAAGAGCCTATTCTACCTAAATAATAATGTTCTTGAAACCTTTGGATTTTAGGTATTTTGTCTTCTTTAAACACGATTTACTGTACTTCTAAATTTCCTGTATATGAGTGGAGGCTATTCTCTAGAGGGAGAAGAGGCAGAAGATTTTACAGCTTGAGCTGTGATAACAAAGGAATTTGAAAGGGTACAAAATATGATTATACGAAAATCTTGGATTTTGAATTACTCAGTAACATGATTTAGCAAACTGTTTTTCTTAGAGAACATACTCTTGAGTTACTACACTATCTGGAATTAATTAGTTCATTCAGTGCTATATTTATATTCTTCATTTTCACATGGTATTCAAAACTTAACAAAGAAAAATCATTCTACAGAGCAAAGACTGAAAGTCTGGTGAAAGTATAAAACCTACATTCTGTTATTGTGGTAATAAAATCAAGAGATTCAGATCAAACTTTTCTAGAGAGAATTAGATGTTTTGGGTTAAATGCTTTACAATGAGCATTTTATGGTTTTGTGTAAACAAATACAGCGTATACTGATATAACCACTATACTGCCAGGATCATGCAAATAGGAACATGAATATTTTGCAAAATACCATACAAACACCTGCTAGCATTTACATTATTACCACCATAATCTTCTAGTATCATATACTGTTTTGACATCATGGTCTGTTAACCATTTTGATTCTGTAGAGTACTTGAAGTCAATTTTTTTAACCAGCATTATCTGCCACAACAGCCTGTCGGGGGTGGCTGGCCATGGGGTGTAGGTGTCCTCATTATCAACTAACTACAGAGCAGATCTAATAGGGTGTTTAAATGCTCTTGGTGGTTTCATCTAAGGGCCCCATCCAAATCATACTACGGATCCACTCTGGTGTCCCCTAACTTACTTTGTGTTTGTATTGATGAATTTTTAATGTGCCACTGGCTTTCTCCCACTGCTCCACGTTGGCCTCACATTTCAAAATATGCAATGCTGGTCAGGCCTAATGCTTTCTCTCCAAGTAAGTCACTTCAGTAGTTGCCAGAGGATGTTATGACAGTGCCCTCAGGAGGTGAGGTTATCTGCCTGTGAGACTCTGCTATAAAGTACTCTGAGAAAGTTTTAAAACCTCAGGAAGTAAACTCTGCCTTTTGGCTGGTGTCTGTTTCAAAGGCGGCAGGATTGCAGTCTGCCAGCAGGATGGATTGCATGAGCAAACGGGGGGGAAAAGCATTAAAACCTTTTCAGCCACACGATCAGAAAGTGAATATTAACAGTATTATCTCATAAGAAGCATTAAAATACAGTCAGCTGTATCATCAATGTATTTTTTGATATGGTTATAGCTAATCAGGTACAGCTACAGCTGAACTCTTTAAGCTGTATACTCGTATACAAATAAACAAATGGCAGACTATGAAATATTTAATTTCTACCATAAAGCCACTAATTTTAGCAACAGCGATTCAACAGTTAATCTACACTGTATTACAAGATGTATTAGTCTGTTTTTGTGCCTGTGTTTCACCGTGTTACACCTGTCTACAAATGAATCTGCAATGGCAAAATAAGGGTCAAAGAACTTCTTTCCATGAGCTCCCAGTTAAAGGGAATTATTCACTTGAGTAAAACTCCCTGTATGCATTTGATGGACACATGCCCTCACCTGCAGCCAGACAGTGATCTTCACGCAGTTGCACATGTGAAAAACATGCTGGAGTCCATTCTACTACCATTGAAGGTAATAGCAAGACTCCCTGTGCCATCAGCAGTAAAAGATGGATTAATTAATTTCCTTCCATTACAGCCCTCCTGGGAAAGTCATTCCTGTTTTGTTCAGTTTGGGTTGTTTTTTTTTCTTTCTTGATTGTAAGAGTCCAGTATAGTCAACATAACATTGAACAGAAGATGCTTTCTGAGCATGACCTGAGCTAAACATACACTGAAACCAGCAACTCAGGGTAGGTTTATTTGCAAACTGAAGGGACCTTCTTGACTGCAGTTTTGTTGATAGCACTTGTGCTCACCAGCTTGACAATTCTGCATTCTTATCAGCTGCTATAAAACACACAAGTTCTGATCTGTAATGGTTGCATCTCTTTGGACAAGAGCCCTGAGGATAAGAGGGTTTGTTGTGGGTTTGGGGTTTGGTTTTTTTTTTTCACCTTACATTTGCTTTGAATTAATTGTAACTGACTATGGAAATATGATCCCCTAAGCATGTAGAGAAATGCATTATTGATAAGTATGTATGAAGTACCTCTAGATTCCTCTGCACTCTGGCTGCTATGAATTTCACACCATTATTCCCAGACAAAAACGTTAGGAGGAAAGTAAGACTGAAGTAACATGAAAGGATACCAGCAGCATTTCCAAACCGACCCTTTCAATGCAGGAAATTCAGAGTTAAACAGAGGAAAATCCAAATGGGTTCATAGATACAATTAAAATACCTAAACAGCTCACTCCCTTTTTGATGCCTTGTGATAACTGCAGGATGTGATAGAGGTAAACAATTTTGCCATTTCAGTTTATGTTATACAGATACGATCAAAAAACACCTCTGGCTTTAGAAGTATTTGCATCGCATTTCACAGTATCGGCGCAATTTCTTTCTGGACTATAAATGTACATCTGCTCTGTGCTTTGAGCTGCACAACTGCAATGTAACCAAAAGTTATATTACAACTGAATGATTTCTGACTGACCGAAAGGGGGAAATGAATTCTGAAATGGGAACTGCAGTGCAGGCAATGAGTTTCCCAGGTCTCATGCCAACAGAGCTTTTTGTTGTGGGTTTTCTAGATCAGGTTAAACTCCTCATTGAGTTAGAACTTGTCTTAACAAAGTTCAAAATGAGTGATAATTCAAAATACGGCCCTATTTGTGCTTGAAAACTTGTCCTTTTTTAAAAACTACATTTGATACTGTTTCTGCCACAGCCCCTGTCTCAAAGTTTACCAGGGAATTATATCCAATAGCACACTTGCAACAGCATAGCTCATCCATAGCTAATCATGCACAGCCTAGCACACACAATGAATTAACACCTGTGAGAAACACTAAATTGAGAAATGCTGTTAAAATGGAAAAAAAAAAAAAAAGAAAAAGAAATTGGCAGACTGGATTTGCCATAGACTGATTGGCATTGAACTGTTCACTCACACTCAGCATTTCACAAAGATTGTGCAGAAGCAATTCTAGTCGGTTATACTCAGCAAAACATTCAATAGGAAAGTCTGTTCTCATACTCACTCGTTTCTGTTTCTTCTGTCCCCTCTGTTCATTCAAAAACTCTCCAATGGCACAGCAGTCACAGCAACTGGCCACTCCTCTGACCTGCAGGTAGTAAGTGATGGTAAGAAGCTCCACCAAGAATGAGAAGCTGATGAGATCCTACATTCTCTGCTCCTAAAGGCAATTCCCTGGCTGGTGGGGCTGGGGGAGAGGGAAATATGCAGAGGGACCTTGAGGGTGGGAGACTATTTATATACAACATTCTTCTGTCTCCTGTGCTAAAGCACAAGTGGAAAAATGTCATTATAAAGTAATTAGAGGAGTAGGAACATCTTCAGTTTCCATGTTTTCACAGGCAGCTCAGCTTTTCTGTAAACTTGTCATATTTATACCTAGCATGAGCACCATGTCTCCAAACTCCAAGTCACCCAGAAAATTTAACTTGTCAATCAATATTGTGACTGAGGAAAAGCCAACACACTACAATAATGTTTATTCATATACATAGTCCCAGCATTACTCTTCAAAAACAGCTTTAAGGCCTTCTTGTTTGCATGTAAATGTAGCTCTATATACCATTGCACCTGTGATATCTATAAGTTGGTCATATTAGCTTAAGCAGCTACATCCCATTTAAATAGCATTTTGGTAATGGGGTTTTTTTGGGTCTTTCTTTTGAGTGATATAGCATAGCCTGTATTATGCATAGAATTAGCATGGATTATTGTAATTCCTTTTCTAAAAAGGAATTATTTTCTTCAAATCTTTTCTGTACTGAACTTATCACCTACCTTTTCATGAGGGGCAGCCTCTGTCTTTGGCAAGCTGATGAGCTCGATCTGGGTAAGAACTGCTTACAGCTTCAGCTTTTTTGGCATTCTGTGCTTGTTTTATTATATTTAGGAGGTGGAGTGCATCCTTTCCTCTGCCACAGAACTTCATGCTATGCAATTACTTCAAACAAGCTTTTTAATGATGTGGCCTTCATCTTCAGAATGCCCAACAGTTGTGCATGACTTGCTCAATTACTGAGCTCCCACGACAGTATCTGGTCCATGGGAGTATGCGTAGGATGGATTTCTCTGTAAAGGAATAAAAAAATGTAACTTTCTGGTGCTTCAGATTGTTTGCCCCAATTTAGACAAAACTTCTGACCTTAATCTCTGGGTCTTTATTTTATCTTTTTAAATAAGACTCTCTAAACACAATTCTTTCACCTTATAGTGCACTTTATGAAAATAATTTCATTAGCAAATGTGAGTCAGATAATGAACTGATAAGTGTCAGGGGGAAATCCTGCTGGAAATTAGTGCTCCCATCATCCGTGCTGTGTGTGGTAAATTAGCAGCAGGCTCTTCAGGAAACGAGGAGAAAAAGACTGAATTGCTGCTCACTGAGAATTTGTCTTGAGCACAGAATGAGTGTTTCACCCAATACTGTTGGTTCTTGTGTTCATCCCAGCATCTTCCCATTTTGGAAAGCACCCATCTTGTCATGATCTCTCTGCC